CCCCGTGAAGCTTGGGCTTAGCCAGTCCTGCTGGTGTGGGGCTGTGGTGCCCGCAGCCTCGGTGCGGGATCGGTGTCCGGCTCTCTGCCCTCCTGGATGCCCTTGTGCTAATGCCTGGCTGAGCTGGGATTACAGGAGTGCCGGGGCAGCAGGTCCGGGTGCATGCCATGAGCGAGGGTCCACAGCACCTGGGGGAACTAACTGTCTGTGCTCCAACCATGGTAAGAGGAAGATAAAAGTGTTTTAGGGCTCAAAAAAAGAGTTTGCGGTGTTTGCTGTAGACTGCAGCATTGCTCGTGCTCTTGTTATCTATTGGTGGCACAGTGCCCACCTCCAAATCTGTCTTGCTAGCTCCTCTGGGTCACCATATAAACACTTTCATTTAATAGCTTCAAATGCCTGAATTTCTCTTGCTCTGCACAGAACCGAGCCCTTCTGAAGGTCAGCCTGATAATGCAAAGGGTTACAGTCCTCCTGGGCAGGAGAAAATAAGTGGAAGTAAAACTCTCTTCCTAAAGAGGATTTTGCTAATCTTCAGCTGGCCTTGCCAGTGCCCTCCAAGGCTCCTGGCCTTGCTTTAGGGCTTAAGCAAGAGCTGAGCAAACTAACTTCTCTTTAAACTTCAGCCCTGGCCATGTTGATCCATCTTTAATGGAGCTGAAACTCGTGTTTCCCCAGGGACAGGGTGGGGGATGCTGCAGTAATCACTGAGCAGAGCTGACCCTTTGGTGATGGTTAACCTCACAAAGCACTGCTTGCTTGCATGGAAATGTCCTGTAATGGGACTGGGCAGCAGCTGCAGCCTCTCTCACCAGGCACTCAGTGTGAAACACGAGGCTCTTTTGCTTTGAGAGAGAGGCCAAATCATTTAAAGGCTGGATTTAGCTTTACTAAGAATCAACTTTCTAGTGGGAAAGGAAAATCCCTCTGGTCTCTGGAAAGAACAGCTTTTACTGGGGGAGGTGGAAGAGAGGGGATTTAGCGATGCCATGGTTATTAAGACCTACAGGCCGCGGCTGGTGTCACGGTGCTGAAGCCAGAAGCCTCGAGGACTGGCAGCGGTGGTGTGGCTTAGGCACTGGGCTCCCTGGGGCTGGGAGAAGATGCTGTCTCGTGGGCTGATGGCACCTGGCAGAGGTAAGAGTGCCCGGCTCTGGGCACAGCAGTGGTGTTACTCGTCTCCGCACACGTGGCACAGCGTGCGGTCAGTCCAGGTGCGTGGCTGTGTCCTCACACTGATGCTTCCACTGCCCACGCCAGTTCCTGTTCTGGTGGGAGCTGTGGTACTGAGTAGCATGAGCAGTGCGTGGCCACAGCATGCTCCACAGGAAATCTGGGCTCTGCTGCCCAGAGGGGTAAAAACCCATCTCGTACAGAAACAAGGTGGTTATCAGCTGAGCTGCCAACCCTGAGCATGGTACGTCTCGCACATGCACAGCTTGCGCTGTGCACCCGCAGGTGTCGTCCACAATGTCTGTGTCCTTTGCATGCACACAGGCAGGAACTTCACTACACAGGTTTCAGCACCTTGTTTTATTACAAAGATAGGCTTTTCCAAGAGTCTGCCACTTCCACTACACAGCAGGTAAGGGCACTACACCCACAACACGTGCCAAAGTTTAAAAACATATTACAAAGGGCTCAGGGGTTCAAGGCAACACTACAAACCCTCAAGCTTCTGCTCCATTAAAGTTGTTCCTTTAAAATGGTTGTAGCAACTACTTTTTTTTTTTTTCCCTCTCTCTCTCTCTTTGGAAAAAATTAAATAATAAAGCAATAGGTCCCAATACATGGCCCAGTCACATCACCTGGAGGCAAACTATACTCACTGTCAGCTCACCTGTATCCTTTCTTTGTAACAA